ATGCACGTGACCGTGCTACTTTGAAAAAGCACTGCAATGAATAGGCTATTCGTTTTGTGTTCAATTTTCATGGTTTAAGCCCTGTATAGAAATTTAGCATTTTTATTTTTCTTGCAAAACTGTGTGTTCTTTAGTAGTGAATGGTGTGTTTTTATTATTGATTTCATGTTCTGTTCTTTTGTTTAGATGGAGCACAAAATTCCAAACTGCACTGAAGAGATTTTGCGAGAAACCTCAGTACAGAGAGCTACTGACATTGAGAAAATCTTGCTCAGCTTGCCTCCATCATTCAGATCATATGCTCTCTGGATTCATCATGACAAGACCACTGGTCAGAAGTATGTACCATCAAGTTCTTACTTTTAATTAAACTACTGCAAATACGTTTTTATTGTTTTTTTTTCTGTTGGCAATTTAGAGAAAGAGTTCTCAGCCTTAAAGTTGTTGCTGGTTATTTTACTAGTACAGTACAGTAGATGCAGTATATCGTTGTATGTTTTTGTTTGAGTGTTGCAATGATAAGTGTTTGCTTAAGACTTATATTATTATGTCAACTAAAGTAACATTTATACTACTCATAAACTATTCAATATGTATACTAATTATGACAGCTTTCAGGTCAATATTCAGAGCACTTTTGAAGTATGGTTGAAAGATTGAAAACTTTCCCTCACCTCAATGTGACCCACCTACCTCTACATCTGAAGGATCTAGGACAGAGGAGAGGTCCGCCTTGTTCTGCTGAGTGAAGGTCTCCATGAAATCATATCCTGGATTGTCATTCCTTTCTGTGCATATAGAAAGTTTCATACTGCATTGTTGTTTTTATGGGTTCATGATCTTGATGGCTCCTTTTTTTGTGCATATTTTTCTTTGTCAGACAACCTTGGTGTTATCTGTATAAAGACAAAGGATCCGCAGATATGATCAGAGTGCACGATTGTCTGGATGGTAAAGAGAAAACATTGGATGTGAATGTACTGGCAGCCATGTGAGTACCTGAACCTTACAGCTTGTATAAACAAGAATTTTGAGATCAGTTAGTATACAATAATAAAAACAGAATTTGTTTTTTGGGATTTTTAACAGCCCCTGTTTTCCATTAGAAGAATGAGAGCATTTTTATGCCCCATGCCGACGACAGCCAGGGCCGGAGACATTATGTTTTTGGGTTGTCCGTCCATTTGGTGGTCGAGGTCAAGGTCATGGTGACCTTACAAACCACAGACCACCTGGAGGGAATTTCTGTGTTCTCCAGTAAAGTTTTCACCTGTGGCCCATATGGCTGAATTTCAGCATTTTTTCTGGTAGATTAATGATGATGATGATGATGAAAGTGTACAAGTCAATCCTTTTCGTCATTCAATGTATGAACAGGAAAAATACACCAAAACGCCAGAGCCACCAGGATGTCTAGCTGATGTTTTGTTCATCAATCCATCATATAACTGATTGTCATGTTGTTTGTTTGATTTTTAAACATTTAACACAGGACTGGTGACCATAGAGAGGACCAATTACTTGTCACAACTAGGACTCCAAAAGAGGCCATACTGGTAACACTTCTTGCCTTACTTGACAATATGTTCTTAATAGACAATATGTCTTGAATTGGGAAAACACACTTCACAGTGTGCACCCTGTACAGTGACTAGTCCTAAACAATGCACTTCAAAAAATACATAATTCAGTTTAAATATTGGTATTTTATATGTAAGGCGTGTCAAGGGCATTTGTATTTTAGGGAAAAAATAGCCATTTTATTTGTTTTTTTGTTGTAATGAAATTTCTACTACATCAACAACAGTAGCCCATACATACAATACATATCATTGTTCTTGACCTTTCGTAACTCAGAACTGCAGTCGTAGGGCATCATACAGCAAGTAATCCATTTTTGGCTCAAGGTTACGTATGTGCTCCTAAAAATGTAAAAAAAAAAAATAGAAAATTTCATTTCTATTGGGTAGATTGCAACATAAACAAAATGGAATGCAAATGTTTGCATAACACGACAACCCTCATTTGCCCAGAATTGCTCCTTTGACATGTTGATGGATGGGGTTAGTGTACACTTAACTTGAACTTTCCAGATTTTCAGCAGTAAATGTGTGAAAGCGTTTTTCCACTGCATGGAAGTCGAACTCACAAGCAAGACATGGTGAAATCATAAGCCATGCTTCTTGACGCAAAGTTGTCAAAGAGCTCTTTCACGCGTTAATTTTCTTATTCCTGTATTTCTGTAGCAACTCCCGTCCATAGGGACGAACTTTGTGTCTATCAGGACCTGATGAAACAAAGTCAAGAACAATGATATGTATTGTTATGTATGGCTTACTGTTGTTGATGTAGTAGAGAATTTCATTACAACAAAAAACAAAATAAAATGGCTATTTTTCCCTAAAATACAAAATGCCATTGACAGCCTTACTAAAATACCAATAATTTAAAACGAATTATGTATTTTTTTGAGTGCGAATTGTTTAGGCACTAGTCACATGTACAGGCTGCACACTGGAAGTGCTGTTTCCCATTCAAGACACTTTGTTAGTTACAGAACAATCATTGTACAAGTAAGGCAAGAAGTGTTCCAGTAAATGGCTCTCTTGAGGTCCTAGTTGTGACCAAGAATTGGTCCTCTCTGAATGCTCCACAGTGCCTGTGTTAACTGTTAAAAACTAAACAAACAACATGACAATCAGTTATATGATGAATGATGAACAAAACATCAGCTAGACATCTGGTGGCTCTGGCGTTTTGGTGTATTTTCCTGTTCATACATTGAATCACGAAAGGATTGACTTTGTACACTTCATCATCATCCAATCATCAATTACCAGAAAAAATGCTGAAATTCAGCTATGGGCACCAGCGTGAAACCTTACTGGGAGAACACAGAAATTCCCTCCAGGTGGTCTGTGGTTTGTAAGGTCACCAGACCCTTGACCTCTGACCACCAAAATGGACGGACAACCCAACAAACAAATGTCTCCGGCCCTGGCGTCCGTCGCATGGCCTAAAAATGCTCTCATTCTTCTAATGGAACACAGGGCTGCTTAAAATCCCAAAAAACAATTGTTTTACTAATTGTATACTAACTGCACTCAAATTCTTGTTTTTATACAAGTGTAAGGCTTCAGGTACCTCACATGGCTGCCAGTTAACAGTTCACCTCCAATTTTCCTGCTTACATCCAACAATGTCACTCTGATATATCTGCGGATCCTTTGTCCTTTATCACAGATAAACACGCAAGGTTGTCTGACAAAGAAAAATATGCACAAAAAAAGGAGCCATCAAGATCATGAACCCATAAAACAACAATGCCGTATGAAACTTTCTCTATGCAAGAAGGAATGACAATCCAGGATATGATTTCATGGAGTACCATCACTCAGCAGAACAAGGCGACTCTCTCTTGTCTAGATCCTTCAGATGTAAGTGGGGTCACATTTGAGGGAGGAAAGTTGTTCAATCTTTCAAACAATACTCTCCAAAAGTGCTGCTGAATATTGCCTGAAAGCTGTCAATTTACATTGTTCTAGGTTATTGACAATTATGGCTTGAGTAACAATCATAGTCCTTAACGCAAACACTTTATCATTGCACACTCTAAACAAAACATACCGATATACCTGATCTACTGTCATCTGTACTAGTAAAACACAGCAACAACTTAAGGCGAGAACTCTTTTCTCTAAATTGCCACAGAAAAAAAACAATAAAAACGTATTTGCAGTAAGTTTAATTTAAAAGTAAGAACTTGTGGTAGCATCTTCCTGACCAGTGGGTCCTTGTCAATGCATGACTCCGAGAGCATATGATCTGAATGATGGAGAGAAGCTGAAACCGATTTCTCAAGTCAGTACTCATCCTGTGGGAGCGGAGTTCTCTCGCAATCCTTCATGCATTTGGGAATTTTTGTCTCATTAAACAAAAGAACAGAAACATGAAACCAATAATAAAACACCCATTCACTACTAGAACACCAGTTTGCAAGAAAAATATAAATGTGCAAATTCTATACCGGGCTTAAACCATGAAATGAACACAAACGATAGCCCTATTCATCTGCAGTGCTTTTCAAAGTAGCAGTCCAGCTGCATTAATTGAGCTGAAAACTTCACTGAGGCCAAAAAGGTTTTTTATTATTAAGTAGGTCTCTTGATTAACCAAAATAGTGAGGGTTCTTGTGGCTTGGTAACATATCAGTAGCCATACTTGACTACCGACAATTAAAAAGTACACAAGAATATTCCTGACATATAATCATCTATTTCAACTAAAGACCAGCCTTCGATCCGTGGTCTCGAAGACTTTTAAGCCAACGAGTCCTATTAAATACGATGGATATCATGCCAAAGCTATGCCAGGGCAACCACTATCAAATGTGTGAGGCAGCAATGCATGCCAAAGTGGGCTATCTCCATAAAACCAGTAATGTTTGACTGGAGTAGGGAGGGCATCATTTACGAGTAGCTTTAGACATGGTTAACTCTTGTCACGAGCACTGCCAGCTAAGGGCCTGGACACTTCCTCATCCTCAGCAGGGCATGTTCTGTCTTTACTACATTCTTGTTCTTGACAATATCCTTATCAAACGGCTTTACTTAGCTCGCGAGATACACGATTGTATAATGCCAACATCTTGGTATATGGATCTATGACAATAAAGAGGCAGTTTTCCACTGAACAGGATTAGAAGAGGTCTGGACAACCTTTACAAAACGCAATCTAACTCCGTCATGCATTGGAAAGTAGTGGTAATGTTGAGAGCCTCGGAAACAAATATCCCTAAAAACTGTGTTACACCACACACTCAC